AAGAGCCCCGTTACAAATGTGAACCATCCTATCTCTGGGCATAGCTGGATGTTACCACAGCAGAGAAGAGATGGAGAAGCACTTCTAGGTAGGAGGAGTCCTTCTGGAAGGATCATTTCTAGTAATTCCCTATAGTGGAGCCATCCCACAGAGTGCATGTCTCAAGGAGAGGCATGAACAAAGTGATACCTCAGGCTGAATTTACTTTTAGGGTGGATACTTCCTAAGGAAAACAAATAAACTAACAAACCTTGCAAAACATGGGGCTGCACACCTTCACCAGAATCCCAGCAGTCGTACTTCTTCCTCCCTGATGGTGGTGTGAGGCACATGGTGAGCAGCTCACAGATGTGTGGGGCAAATCGCAGAACTCTTCCATTGACATTCTACAGATCTCTTTGCTGACTGAAGCTACATTTCAAGATGAAGCTGAGGTTGCTGTTTCTGTATGAATCTCAGGTAAAAGAACCAAGCTCATAGATTTGTGGTTGGCACAGGTCTTCAGTGAGTCACTCCTTGGCTACTACCCTGCTAGCTGAGCACAGCAGCACATTCAGAAGCTTTGGTCTGCACCTGGGTTAACAGTTTTTAAGAAAGCCAGGGCCATGACTGACATCTATCTGCTGAACATTGTCTTTTCCCTCCCCTTCTTGGCTCAATACTCCATTTTGGTGGAATATTCCTTCTGCTTGGCTGCCTGCCCCAAGGAAGCAAACATCTCCTGGAGTAAGAGTGATGTGGCTGGGCTACTGGTGGGAAAGTGGTGCAGAGCCCACCCTCAGCCTCACAGCCACATTATGGATAAGAGCTAATTTGGTCAGCATGCTGTCTGCAACTTCCCTGCTGCTCCCCTAAGAGGGTGATTGAAAAACCGTACAGGCATATCGAAGATACATAGGAGGATACAGGTTACCAGTAAAGTCAGCCTCCTGCACAGGAGCTTGTAAAAGGAGTTACATTGGGCATAGACATATTTCCTCCAGGAACACAGCTTTTACTCACTCCTTTTTACTCTGTGTTTTACACATACCAATAGTGAATCAAGAGGAAACAAGACTGAATGTGAGTGACTGTTACTTTTATCTCGGTTTTAAGATGATACACATGAGAATATCTGACTATGTGATGTGCCCAAGTTGTTCTGACTTCCCTTCAACCTGTCTCACTACAGCAAAAAGACCAAGATCAGGATGTAAAGCTGAGTAGCAGAAGTGAGTGGGGACCAATGCTGAAACTGTGGCGGGCTCCTTTTGAGCAAACAAGTGACCATGCACTGTGTCTGTGCAGAGCAGACGAGCTCAGCCAACCTGAGCAGCTGCTGGGACAGCCCTGCAAGTTGGAGTCACTGTGATGCTGTTCAGGCTCAAGGAAGATGCAGAGGGTTTCTTCTGCTGTCCTGCGCTCATAGTGCCCTTGAACGCAGCTCAGAGCAGGCAACTCCCAGGCCTGTCCTTTCAGAAAGGAACACAGAGAACTGCATGTTCTGCTGCCCACACATCATCAGGATGTGGGTCTCACCTCCGCCCCTGCGGCAGCAGCAGCTCGCAGCGCCAGGCTGCAGCGGGGAGCTGAGGTTGGTCCGACTCCCAGCGCTGCTGCTGCAAGGAGGGAGGCAGCTGCCTTGGCAGGAAATCTTTAGCGCTGCAGAGAGCTGTGTGCAAGGAGAAAAGCAGCCCCCTTTCAAAACACAGAGAGCTTTGGTGAAGCCCATGGTACTTGACATCTACCAGCTCCTTCATGCAGCGTAACATCGTCCTGACTTGGTTTCTGGTGACCTGCAGCATGACATCTCAATCAGCACCAGAAATTAAAATTTTAATGACAGCAAAATGAGCCCATTTTTGCTACACTGTGGAATTCCAGCTGGGAGGATGCAAAGGAAGAGCACAGCAAACATACCAGCTCACCTGAGCAGCAGAGGATAGGCTGCAGGAGCACCGTGGAGGCACTGTGGGTCTTTGAGTGGTTTCTTTGCTCGAGACTCACTTGAGACTAACACTATGCATAGATCTAAAAGTTCACAGTCACCTCAGAGCATATCACACAAATACAGCACATCCAGAACAAAGAAAACCCCAGCACCCAGGGTGAGCTGCACCCTGTTGTCCTCTCCTCACACCTTTCTGCTCTGCGGCAGAGCCTCACTGCAATCTGTGCACCTCTCATTTTGGTCACCATGCCTAAGCTACCACCTCCACACAGCTTTTCCTGAGATGCATGGAGAAACAACTTCTTGTTTGATTATTTTTGCTATTACTGGAAATTGTCCGCTGGGAGCACGACCTGAGAATAAATAGCAGATATTACTGGGCTTCAGAAGAGCGAGCCTGATGTGGTCCAGGGAGGGAGGGATGACTTTCTGTCAAACTTCGAGACACATACTTCAGAAAAAAATATTTTGCTCTCAATCTACGTGGCTTGGATCCCTTTTAGGCCACAGGTTAACTTGCTGAAAGATCTCTGTCCTGTTTTTGCTAGGTCAGGGGCTGCTTTACTCTACTGCAAATGATGTCCGTTTCAGATCTGACTGCAAAACCTGATGTGCAGGGGCTGGACAAGACAAGTGTTGGTGAAATTTAGCAAAAAAAAAAAAAATGCTTTGTTCATACATAGAGGAGGAAGGGGAAAACGTGGAAATGGACAACAAGCATTTGATAAGGAGCCTCCTGTTACTGAAGGGACATTTTTCCAATGCAGATACCCAACTCCTGAGCCTGCTTGTCTGTGGGTATGAAGGGGGTATAGCTCTGAAGGGTGGCACAGTGGTAGCATGGGCAGACAGAGAGTGTAGGCAGTGAGAAGGGATGGAAATGATTCTGCATTTCCCATTATTCTGTTATTTGAAGGTACTGCTATTTTCCTGCAGTGATCTTGTGATGGAAATTGAATGACTGTGCCAGCTGCTGGGGGGAGAGCTGTGCCATGCAAGGAAGGCTTTTGTCTGCAAGTCAGTTTTACAGAATCCTTTATTGCAGGATGCATGCCATGAAATCCTGCAGTGGTGCACATACAAATATGTGCTGTGGGAAAGCAGAGGTTGTTGCCATCCTTGTGCTACGAGCAAGGTATGATATAGAGCACTACTGCTGCAAACCTCCAGGGGATAAAGATAGCTGGTGCTGGCATCCTGTTCACCACACTTCAGCTTCAACCTTAATTTCTGTGAAACCCATTCTTGGGCATTTAAATGCTTGCGCATACAAAAAAAAGAGTCATGTTGAACAAAGGTGGCAAGTTGCCCAAATGGCAGGAGCTGCAGTGCAGAGCTGGTATTGAGGAAGTGGTTAAAACTCATCTTTTCACAGTCTTCGCTTTATCATTTGGGGAATCTGTCACTGCCCACATGAAGGAACATTACCTGTAGTATACATTGTTATCAACCTGTTCTTGTAAAAGACTGCATTTTGCAGATCACCAATATGGATGCACATTAAAATAAACACTATCTGACGATCAGCAGCTAAAGAGAATTGCCTTCTGAGTTTTGTTCTGATCTTCTCTAGGAAATAACCTCAAGGGTACTTGAAAGGTGTGGGGATTTTACCAGGGGAGGCTGACTTGCTAGAAGATAACCTGCCTGAAGACAACCTGCTCTCAGTCTCTTTCTCCCAGGGAGAAGGAAAGAGGGAGAAAGAGAGAGGAGGTGGCTGGAGAAATGGTCAGTTATGTGAATCTGCCAGGGCAGATGAAAATGTGCAATCTGAAATAATCAATGATAGGACAGGGGAGTTCCTCAGATCTTGCATTTACACTGCAGGAAGAATCTTTATTATAAAACTTAAAACAGGGTGATATCCTGTAGAGAAAAATATACAAGGAACAAAAACTTCAAAGCACCATTGCATTTATCTGTCAATATTTGTGCTACCTCCTGCAGATCCCCAGGAAGATTTTACCCATCACTCTTACCATATAACAGTAATTTATTTGCTGCTTGCCTAATTCACTCATTCACTAAGCTCTATCTGGAAACTTTGCTTAGATATCAGGTAGGAGCTAAGCCCTGGAGTGATTCCTTAAACTGAGGGACTGTTTCCCTTCACAAAGCATGCTCTCAACCCTGCGATGAGCACAGTCACCACCTGTAGGATAAATCCACTCTGCTGAGACAAGTGAAAGAGCTGCCTGCTGTCCCAAGCTTGGAAATGAGAGCTATTCCTCCCGACACCAGGCTCTCATCCACTCTCCAAAATTAGACATTTGTTCATGCAGACCAGAAGACGGTGGCTTTCAGCCCCAGTGCCATAACCATCATCCATTTGGTATTAGTATGCAAACCACTGACCTTTCCTTAGGGGAGACTTAGTTGTCTCCCTCAGAGTGGCAGCTCACTCAGGATGCGTGAGGAATTAAATAAGCATTAAAAAAAAAAAATATTATACATGCATTTTGTCAACATCTAGGTGAGGAATACTGAGGTGTGACTTTGACACCCTATCTGCATAGAGAGGCTGCGTATTCCCATCCTTCAAGGTTTTCATCATTTCATTAGGAATATTGGAGGACCGTGTGTCCTGTGCTGGAGGGACAGGGCATTCCTCTTGGTGTGAAGTCTGTTAATAATTTTTCAGCCTCACTTCCACAAAGTCGATTGGGCAGAAGGAGCTACTGGAAGGGGAGGAAGATGATAAAAAAGATGCTAAAAAATAAGAATCCCAAATAATACAAGCAGGCTTAAGCAAATGATTCTACTTTTCTGGTACCTCCTGTCCTAAAAAGTTGTCTGAACAGTGCATCCCCATACTTCCCTGTGATAGAGACAAAAGTCTTCTTTGATAAACTATTCAGCTGGTGGGCAGGGGGTACCTGATGAATTTTGCAAGGTGATTTTCAGTGTTTGAAGTTCTCATTCACATTTGCTAAGCATGGGACAGAATAGTGTCCCTGTTCAGAATGGTGTCAGAGTACATGAAAGAGCAAGGTGCACTACAGCTTGCTCTGGTATTGTGTGATTTCCTAGTCTTACTTTGATAACAGGCCATTGCACTGAAACCTCCCCCTACAAGGAAACAGAAAGACTGTTTTTATTGAAGTACAGGGAGAATTTCTCGGTTTCAAATCAAGTCTAAAGTACGGAGCTTCTGCCTTGCAGCTCTACAAGATGCTGCCGACGAAAGAGGACTGCGAGGATGCTGTGTACAGAGAGGTGCGTCTGTCCGTGTTGCGTCTGTTGAAGGCACTGTGTCCTTTGCAGATCAAGAGAAAATGGGTATATTTGCCAAAAGCCTCACAGAGGTACTTCTTGAACTTCTCCCCAACAAAGGCGTAGATGATGGGGTTGAGGCAGCAGTGCACAAGGGAGAGTGTCTCGGCCAGCTCCAAGGCCAGGTCAAGCCTTTGGCTAGTCTGGCAGTCATCGATGATATGCAAGCTCCTCATAGAGTCCAAAAAGAGCACGATATTGATGGGGGTCCAGAACAGGAAGAACACAATGACAACGATAAAAACCAATTTCATTGCTTTGTATTTGTTCTGAGTATGGCACCTCTGCAGGTTTCTCAAAATGTTGTGGTAGCAGAAAATGAGGATGCTCACAGGGAACAGCCACCCCATGATGTTGACTTCAGAATTACTGAAGACCTTCCAGCCATTACCGCTGCCAGGGTAGAGAGGGATGCACAGTGTCTTGTTATCATCATCCACTTCCTGGAAGAACACAAGGCCTGGCACTGATGCTAAAATGGCTACTGCCCAAAGGACCAGGCTTGCAATGATTCCATGGGTGGTTGTCCGGACCTGCAGGGCATACACAGAGTGCACAATGGCCAAGTACCTGTCAATGCTCATGATGGTTATGAAGAAGGCGCTGCTGTAGAAACCAATGAAGTAAGCAGAGCTGACAATTTTACACATGGCGTTGCCGAAAGTCCACTGGCTTACCAGGGAGTACTGAGTCAGGAAAGGGAGGGAGAAGACAAAGACGAGGTCAGAGATGGCGAGGTTCAGCAGATACACGTCAGTCATGGCCCTGATTTTCTTAAAGACTGTTAGGACCCAAACAACCAAAGCGTTTCCCGTGAGGCCAACCACAAACAATATAGAGTACAGCACTGGAAAAAATGAAGATGCAAATGATGGAATACTTTCAAATTCACAGTCAGTGTCCAGTTCAGGGTAGTACATGTTATCATAGGGTGCAGAGGAATTAACTGCTGGTGACAAATGGTAATCCACCTGTTCAAGGACAATGAAATTTGTGAGATCCTAATCTCAAATTACATTCCTAGTAAAAATATAGTTCATCTCACATGGAGCCCACAAGTTAAAATCAGGTGTGCCTTGGCCAGGTCAGATGACACAAATGGGGAAAATGGAGAATGAACATGTGTGATGGCTCTGCCCTGACAGGATGAGGGTCTTGAGCCAGAGGGGCAGGGAAGATGAAAGGAAATGCAGCTGCTGTGGTAAATCAGCCTCCTTCCACAGCTTCTTGATGTGCCTAGTTCCCATGTTTGTATCCAGCCTGATCGGCTGGTCCAAGTGCTGGAGGGAGCACCACCAAAATAGCAGTCAAATGGACCAGGGTGCTCAGAGAGCCCTCAGCAGAGGTTTTGCAGCTCAGCTCTATGTTCTGTCGAGATCTTTGTCCAGCTCATGGAGTCAGCTGGGTGCCCACGGCTCCAAAGCCATGCAGCTTCCTGGCAGTGCCCACCACAGCCTGCCCAGCCCACTGAGAGTGGTGAGGGCACATCTCCTGCACAGGGACTTCCCCTGTGACTCTAGGGAGGGCTGTGTGAGCCCTGACAAAAGCAGCCTCCTCTGCAGAAGGTGCCTTCACATACGCTGCTTTCAAAGAACCCCAACCACTGAGATTTGTTCCACATCCTCACTGTCCCCGCCAGAATGACCTCTCCCAGTGACAGCCCCTCAGGAACAAGCCCAGATGCATCCACTCACCAGCAAGTCCTCCTGCTTTCCTCCGGCCAGCAGGCTCCTCAGGTCCCCATCCATAATCCAGTACTGTGTGAAGTGCCAGAAAAATGTCTCAGTGTATAAAGCACATCTGAGAGGTAAGTGTATCTTCATACATATATAGTGGCAAGTGCTTACCTTAGTTTACCTTTCAGCACCAAGCCGCCAGCAAAGTCTTTACCCTAACAGCACAGAATCTCAAAGTGCCTCTTCCTCTGGGTGACAGATGTTATATTCAAGGTGCACAAACCCACAAGGCAGTCAGTTCATTCTCTTCAGTTCATGCTTACAGAAAAGGAAACGTGTGTCAGACTTATCTCCTGGATGATCAGTACGTCATTTCACATGAGCAGGAACGTCAATGAAAGAGCTCTGTCACTCACCCCACGCGTCTGCCAGGTGTCCTGTCTACCACTGGGCGCCCAGCACCGTTGCCCTGCATCACCGTGAGGGGGAAGCAGCACTGCTGTTCTTGCACACCAGGGACTATCGGGGAAGATGTCTGTGGGGGACGTCCCAGTGATGCAGATGAACAGGAGCCTGCATGTCACCCTTGTCAAAACCTGCACCAGTGGAGGTGACCCCACTGTTACTGTCCCCATCGTGCTGGGTCACCTCCTCATTCATCGTGATCATAACGAGAGAGCAAAGCTCCTCCAGCCCCACAGCAAGGTGGGCACCAGGATGCCACAGTACTGCCAGAGCATCCAGCTCCTGCGTGGGCTGTGAGCTGCTCGGCTGCCATTGCCGCAGCCTCTGGTTGGCTCAGCAGGTCCCGGTGTCTGCAGCCGCCCCACGGATGCCCTGGTGGCTCCACGTGGGGATGAGGACGGCTCTGCCAGGGGGCAGCACGGCTGTGGGGTCTTTGGAGCCAGGGGCACCCAGCTGCCGCCATGAGCTGGACAAAGCAGCCTGACGCACCACCCCAGCACCACAAAAACCTCCACACAAACGCACCTCACTTGGGTTTGCCAGCTTTATTGGAGGTGAAAGCTCACACCACTAGGCCAGCACTTTGAGACACGTGTAATTCATTGTGTCCTCAAAGCAGGAGCCAAACAAGGTGCCGACTCACAGAATCACTGATTCGTGACCCCTCAGAACGCGGGGTCTCAAACCAGAGAAAGAAGCCCAAAGCAGCTTTCTAAACACAGCGCTCATCTCCAGGCCGCTCCACCACACACACCCGTGCTTAGTGATGCCCGCAGCACCGACCCATCACACGCCCGGGATGCAATAAGCCATAACTGACGCATCCCTCGGCACGCTAAGGGTTAAGCGTTGCGCATGCGCGGCTCGATCCCGCCGCCGTCCGAGCCCGCGCTGGGATTGGCCGTCGGCGGAAAGGTCCGCGCGTCATTGCCGCCCGCCGCGCTCACTGGTTCAGCGGGGCGCTGGGATGCCGGGGCGAGAGGACGAGGTAATGACGTGCGTCCGGCCCGCTGCGGCGCACGCGAAGCTCGCCGGGGTCCCGCGCGGCTCCCCCTGCATGGCAGACGGGGGGGGCGGCCCGCGTCGCCCGCTGCCCGGCGCCCCGTGTGCGGGCGGGGTGCGAGGTGCGGGACCCGGCCGCGCGGCCGCGCCTGAAAGGAGCGATTTTCCGCCCTTCCCGTTCCTTGCGACGCGGTTTAGAGGCGGATAAAGCAGCCATGTCCCCCGTTCCCCTCCAGATGCACCCCGTGCTGAAGGCCTTCGTCTGCGGCTCCATCAGCGGCACCTGCTCCACGCTACTCTTTCAGCCCCTCGATCTGCTGAAGACCCGCCTGCAGACCTTGCAGCCGGCCGTGGGAGGGTGAGGGCTGTGGGGTCGCGCCGGGCGCCCTTGGAGGGTAACTGGGTGGGTAATTGGACGGGTAACTGGTTCCGAGGCCCTATGGAGCAGCGGCGTGTTCTGGAAGGAGCGGCCAAGGGGCCACGAGGAGAGTATGAGGGCCGGGGTGACACGTGGAGGTGCGGCGATGGGCCCGGTGGTGCGGGGAGGCATTGGAGTGCTGTCTGGTATTCCTTCCAGGTCCGGTCGTGCTGGGATGGTGACGGTGCTTTTCAGGGTGGTTCGAACTGAAAGTCTTCTGGGGCTGTGGAAAGGCGTCTCTCCCGTAAGTGGCTCTTCCGACCTTGACTTAATAATTACATGCACAAGCAAACCTGCCGTTTATTGATAACTAAGGACTGGATTGAAGTGTCTGGCTCCTGTACAATTATGAACGAAATCATGTGATGTGGATGGTTAAATCCCCTTGTAAGAAGTTAATGGTTAATGTGGTGAGTGCCACTGGTGCATTCACTGCGCATTTGCAATCCAGAGCAGCTGAATGCACGAATAAACTTTGTAAACATGAGTGGCAGCTGCACCAACCTCATTCTGTTTTGGGATACTGTCTTTACTATGAGAGTGGTGAGGTGCTGGAACAGCTGCCCAGAGAGGTTGTGGATGCCCCGTCCTTGGAGGTGTTCAAGGCTAGGTTGGATGGGGCCCTGGGCAGCCTGGTCTGGTATTAAATGTGGAGATTGGTGGACCTGCATGTGGCAGGGGGGTTGGAGATTCATGGTTCTTGAGCTCCCTTCCAAACCTGGCCGTTCTGTGATCCTGGCCCCACTTGAACCCACTGCATCTAAGTGGCATTAGTTTTTCCTCCTCTTCTTTCCTTAGCCTCTGTTGACTTGACTCCTGCCCATTAGATTTATGAACAGTGATGAGATCCTTGCTCTTTCAGCCTTTCTTCATAAGGGAGGTGCTCCAGGCCCCTCATGACCTTTGTCACCATCTTTGTGACACTCTTCCTTATGCCCCAGGAAACCATTGGCTTTTAGTGATATGTTTTGTCTAAAGTATGTTTTTTCTGTCTTTCTTTGCTTCTGCTTCTGTGAAGTCCTTTGCAAGATGTATTCCTGGGGTCGGGATTTACTTCAGCACTCTGTACACCATGAAGCAGAAGTTTCTAGGGGACCGTTCACCCACAGCCCTGGAGTCTGTCTTTCTGGGTGCCACTGCACGTGCAGTATCTGGGATTTGCATGTTGCCAGTAACAGTGGTGAAGACACGGTATGAAGTGAGTATGACTTTCTAATTAGTTCACTGTTAATGATGTCACATTCCTTTCTCCTGATGACAGACATTTTTGTCAGGAGGAAATTGCTGCCCCTTGGTACAGCCAAGGATTGTAGTCGTGGTGTCATCCTGCTTCACACATTAGGCCACAATTGCCAAGCCACACCACTGATAACTAGGCAGAAAGTGAATGTGAAACTCACACTGAGATTTTCAGGTTCTGTTTGTATGCAGTGCCTCTGTAATTGTAGGATACTTTTTGTTTTACCTTCTAGAGGCTGAGGTAGGTGGAACACAGTTTTTTGCCTTGGCCTGTCCTCTCTACTGCCATCTCTTGTATCAGATGAGAACACTGGCCTCAGGGTGTGAGTGGAGCTCCTTGGCATGTGATGACTGACTCTTACCTACCTCTGCAGAGTGGAAGATTTGGCTATGGGAGCGTGTATGGAGCTCTGAAGAGTATCTATCAGACAGAAGGGGCTCGTGGCATGTTCAGTGGGCTCACTGCCACCCTGCTACGGGATGCACCTTTCTCTGGGATCTACCTGATGTTCTACACGCAGACCAAAAAACTCACACCTCAGGGTAAGGCTGAACTTTGGAGGCTGTGACATAAAACATTGCTTTTCTCTCATTGTGCCCTAAAATTCCCTGCTCTGCTTATTGCACGCATCATCAGTAGTTCAGTTACTCTGTTGTGGGGCTTTAGGTGAGATGTTTGCCTTTTGGTTGTGGAGAGCTAATAGATCTCATGTCAGTATAGAAATGGAAATTGGACCAAGATTTACTGTCTTTTTGAGGACTCTTGCTTAAGGTAGGTGAGTGATGCATAAGTTAGGGTAGTGAAGAACTGAAAGAGGGGATGTGTTCAGCAGTGGTTTCTGCTGCTGGTTGTATTGTATACTGATTAGTTTCCACTGAGCTGGGGTTTCTGCTTATGGAACTGGCTGAGGCAAGACTTAAACAACTTTTCCTTATCTGAGTTCTTGTTACATTCAGTTCCTTAGCAGTGAGTGCTTTAAACTGTTCTAACTTGTAGCCATTTTTCCCCTTCTGCTCTACCCTCAGGAGATTTTAACTTCTGTCATGTTCTGCCATTGATTCTATGGTTCAGTAGATTTTCACTTCATTACGCAGTGAGGGTATTACTGGCCTCTTTTGTATCTGAGTGGGTTCCCTCTTCTCTGTCACAGTCCAGCTGGATCCAGTGCTCATGCCTGTGGTGAATTTTGGCTGTGGGATCTTCGCGGGAATCTTGGCTTCACTGGCAACGCAGCCTGCTGATGTCATCAAAACACACATGCAGCTGTCCCCTAAAAAGTACCGCAGGACAAGCCAGACCATTGCCTTCATCTACAGGGTAAGGCGAATCTCTTCTAATTGGTGCAGCTGCAGCCTTGCTTCTGAGTCTTTGTGCCCACAGCACAGTTATGCTGAGTAAGTTGTCTGTATGCTCTTGCAGTCTGGCTATTCAGTGTGAGCGTTTTCAGAAGATGAGGGGGGACATTCTGGGGGAGTCTGAGGCTGAATCTCTTGTTACTGTTTTTTGCGTGGGGAATTTTGCTCAGGGAATTAACTGGATGGGTGCTGTGGTTGATGGTTTGAAGGCAGATGTTTCAGTCTGTTCCTTGAGTTTCTTTGTATTTAATAGGCTATTAGCACTACTCAGATTATTTCCTGCTCCTCTTGAATGGATTACAAGGGAGTGGAACTTGCTCCCCAATTACTCTTGCCATTCCCAAATCCTTTAACTGTTTGCACAAAATTACAGAAGATAGGCAGTTGAAGAGTAAGCTGTGCCCACCTTTGTGCTCTAATTCCACGAGTATCTCTCCACACAGATCTGCCTCATGCATCAAGCTGCTGAATGATTACGCTTCAGTTGTCTGCTATGCCTTTGTCTTAACACTGGTGGTTACTTTAGCATGGAATGTGAGCTTGGAGTAGCTGTGCTTGCAGCTGCTGCCACCTGTGTAGGCACATTTGTAATTACCACACTAAGGCAAAGGGTTTCCTTAGAATGTAGTAGATCTTAGCAGCTTTGCTTTGTTTTCTTTCCTAAACAAGAATCTCTATTTGTGTATGGATTTTTTTTTTTTTTTTTTTTTTGTGCATGAACTGTTTCCTCCTAACAGATGTATTTATTTTCAGTACTTAAAAATTTCGGTTTTTAAAGAACAGTTATGTTATTTTTGTGTACAGGAATGAGCACTAAAACAAGGACAAGTCATTTTCCTGAAGCAGATTGAAA